TATAATTAGGAGCACGGGGGGTCCGGCAGGCTAGCCACAACATTTATTTCCTCTTACGAGTTACGCTTCAATGTGTTTCCTTATTTCTTTCTTACGGCTAAAGGTATTTAACACAGTATGTCGCGGGGCGCGCATTTACAGATGTCACGCACCCGCATTCGTTCGCTCCCACCTCGTTAAGCTTAAGTTTCGATATAGTTTCTATCTGTTGGCTAATATTATCTTCTTACACATATATGCATATATGTATATATAATATACATATCTGTATTACATATAGATGCGCGTGTCTCGTTTTGTAGTCTTTCTTGTAATACATATGATCATATACATACATTATTTTATGTTATGCTTCGGTATCTACGCTTACGGCTCCTACTTTTGTTTTTTCTTTCATTGTGTGCTTTTTTTCTCTTAAAGATTCTTGCGCTAACACTAAGCTGTTTCCATGGTGCTTTGCATCGGTTAAGTATCCCAATTTGGCCCGACTGCTGCCCTCGTCCCGTTAAGAGTTATGTTAGACTCGCGAGCGGCGTCTCGATGTAAATAATTTAATTAGAAATGCACCTCGCGCGCACTTTTCCAGACGATGAATGAAAACGCGCTCGCGTCTAGTTGCAATTTACACGCTAATGGACGACGGTACTTCCGTGAAGACTCGAAAATTAACTCCGCTTAACTCTCTACAACCGGTCGATGATTATCGAGTAAAAAACCACGCGTCTGATATGACTATGTCGATTATCGATACGCAAAGAATCCCGATAATTCGCTGCCTTTTTTCTAGCAATTTGCCGTTCGTAGAGATTTCGAATAAAAGGAAAAATGTCCCGTTTGTGTTGACGCAATCGGTAAATACTCTCTCCTCGATATCACGTTCAAATTGTATCCGAGTGTAAATTTATTAGGCGATTGTCATTGCTACTCGCGCGATTCGCGGCTGAGATCGAAGTGAGCGCACGATCGATGCTCGTATTCTTTTCCGTTCCTCCCGGATCGATCGGCCGGCTGAATTTGATTTCTTTAAACGGTTCTACATATCTCGTTGTAAAAAAGGGAGAAAGCGCTTTCGCGAGCGAACAACGACCGGTTCGAGTAACTCGAAGCATCAATTGCTTAATTGCATTCCACGTCCCTCATTGCAGTTCCTAATTGGGAGCGGTAGGATCGTCTGATTGGCTCGATGATATGTTTCGTGTGTGCATTCGCGGTGCCTACGTGTCGATCGTTATCAAAATCGCGTTTTGTGATGCACTCGCGGGGAGGCGAAAGCATTGCGAACACGATAGGATAGCATCGCGGGCAATCGATACTCCTTGCTCTCTTATCTTCCCCCAGGACCGACGCCACCTCCTCTGTCCATTGCCTGCACGGGACTTGTGCAAACACGTCGGTAACGATAATTAATACCTAGCCCTCGGTGAAAAGAACACGTACAAGTTTCTAAATGTATGTTTCTTCAATGATTGTCGACTATCGTTTGGTAAGTCTCCGCGAGATAAGTCTGTCCGGGCGGAGGAACGTGGGCGGGCGGCGTCGGGACACATCAGTCGCCGGGAAACAAATAAGAGAGCATCGAGGGTAGAGGCGTACGGACGAGGAAGAAGAGGGGGTGGAAATAACATAGCGCCCGTTACGAGATACTACGAGGTAATACACGCTACGTGACGGGAATCGGGGGTGAGCGAGGAAGAAAAAAGGCACGCGTTAAATTTTGTTGTAACTCGAGAATGTGGTGGTGATTCGATGAGAGGTTGGATGGTCAGGAACGGTCGCTCGCTGAAGCTCAAACGACGCGACGGTAAAAATCCGGCGCAAATCTCGCGCCATCCAGCACGTTACCGGGTTATGGAATCTGAGAACTGCGACTTGAGGACGCGAGCGAAGGATGGAGGCAGCAGCCGCGGCACGTGTGTTGTGTGTGTTTGTGTGTGTGTGTGAGAGTATACGTGTTTGTTGCTCGTTCCTTTTTTTTTTCTCTCTCGGTAGGTGTATGCATATACACGCGTCTTGCCGTATTGTGCCGTGTATTTTGGGTGCTGAGTATAACTTGCGGATATAGTTATTGCACTATTTCTCATGAACGCTTTTTTTCGTCTTCTTACTCGTTAACCTAGTGATCGACAAGCTAGACTAGACTAGACTACGTCTAGAGCTTTTGTTAAGTTCTCTCGCCGCTACATAACTAGTACGTACGCTGTGTGCATCTTTTGTGTACTTGGTGTAGTGTGTATTTACATACGCGTATATGTTTTTACACCACGTGTACGCGTTCGCTCGCACGTGCGCGCGGGCGTTTTCACGCGCTCGCGCGACTTTTCCCCGGATGCGTTCGCGACGTTTAGGTACCGTAAGTGGATCTCTCGCCAGTTTCGCTCTACATTGTGTGGCTCTCTCGTCGCATACCTTTTCGTCTCGTTCTTGTTCTTCTTCTTTTCTTTTCTTTTTTTTTACATCTTACTTCGCCCCGGTTCGCGTTTTCCCGCTAATCGCCGTTTCCGCGCGCGATTCCACCGCCCTTTTGTTTCCCCCCTCTCATTTTCGCCTACTATATAAGTTAGATTACATTAATAATTATCTATCTATCACTTTTTATGCTACATTTTTGGTTTCTCATTGTAACGCGACGACTCGTTTAAATCGGCTAGCTCCACTCGGTGTATATGCCCTAGACAACGTACGGTACTACATTAAGTCATATACACGCCCTAATGTTTAAGGCGTCTTTCTTCAAATACTTTTTACAGGATCGGGCGTCCACGCTGATTCTTTAAAAGAGTGCAGGATCCCTCACATTTTCTCTGTCGAAGGTGGAATCGAGTCGGAGTGCATAGCGAGCAATTCGACAAGGGGAGCGATTGGGTGGAACGTAAGGAACGTAAAAGTAGAGTGCGTCAGATCCGATTAACTTTGTTTTTTTTCTCTCTCCCTTTGTTGGTTAAACGCTTCCCGGAGAATGCGTTACCGTTACAGGATTTGATTGACAGATGCGAATATACGCACGGTATAATAACGGGTCCTTATTGCATAATTCTTATTACAATCTGCCATTGGGTCCCACTTGCCACTCGGTCTCCGTCCTCCCTCTCTCCCCTCGCTCGTTCCACCTTTCACAAAAATAACCTATATTTTTATTTCTTTCGCCTAACTAATAATGTACACGATATTTTCCCTTTTTTTTCTTTTACTTGTGTGTTCGCTTCTTACGAGCTAACTTTCTCACGCACAGCGCTTTGTTTTACGCACGACGATTGAAAATAACAGCCCTCGCCGCCGCTGCGCGTAAGTGTGTATGCCTGTATGTATATATCTATATATGTGTGTATATATATATAAATATATACATAGCTATAAATAGAAATATATATATATATATATGGCATATACATATATATGCATTTGTATCTAAATGTATGTATATATATTTATATATAATTTTGTTGCTTTCTCTTTGCATACTCGTGCCGTGTCCTCGAGGCTAGTCACCCAATTTCTAGTAGAAAACGAGATTTGGTTAGCATGACGATTCCATTTTAAGCTAAAATTTTAAATGATGCAAAACTTTTGCAAATCACAATTGTAACCTGCATTATTCCATCGTAACGCCATATATCTACACACTTTTTCTCTCCCTCTCCCCCCCCCCCC